AATTTATACATTTGCATATACAACTAAAGACTTAATGAGTCACTTGGAAATTTCATGAATTTCTACCTATAACTCATTTTAAAAATGCATCCTCATTCTTGTAAGAACAGCTTCTTTTTGTCACATCCGTACTAATATGATCAGAAGCATTTTTTGAAACCTTAAGAAATCTTGATTTTCTTCTTTACGTCTGAGAGTGTGCCAACAATGCAATAATGTACAAAAAATAGTACAAATACAAATTTCTCTCATTGCCTCTCCTATGATTTTTGCCAGTTACAAAATGAACAAGTCACTATCTATAGCACAGTTTTAGCAACAAGTCTCTTAATTACTTGGAAAACTAGAAGGGAAAGCCAGGAGACTTTTTTAAATCAAGTATATAGCTAACCACTATGCTGTGAAAACTTTGAAGTGAAAAAATGTTAATTTTCTGCCTTGAAAATATATTTAAAATCTTGGTATAATCTGTATATTATAAACTGAATATTTGCACAACTATAATCTGGTGAGCCTATGTTATTAGTCATTTGAAAGTATATACAAATTTTAATTATTAATGAAACTTAGGACAATGAAGATGAATTTATAAAATGCTTATGGGTGTCAGAAAAAAAGAAAATTTGTACTCCTAATCTAATAAATACAATATCAATATCATTTTCATATTTATCATAACCGTAATTTATTGTAACTTATAATTTCACTCAAAGGTTATTTTGAAAATTAGGTTTTGCTTTTTAAAGACATGAATATGAAGATTTTTTCTTACTATTAGACAGTTCTTATCTGATAAAACATAGCCTACTTCATTATTTTAGTGATATTTTCAATTTTGCTAAAATATTATATAAGTCCCAGGTCCAATACTACATAAAGCTAACCAAGTAAATTCACAGCTGTCAAACCACAAAGCTGAGTTCCAAGGGTATATAGTGTGTCTCTTCTTTACTTCCAAAATATTATAATATGGTAATGTTCAAATTCCCAATTTTAGTTAAAAGGAAAATCCCATTTCTACATCAAATTGAAATCAAACAGGGAACAAACACAACTAAAACTAAATAAAACCACTACTCAAAAATTTGTGACTAGTAACATTAAAGATTTCCTATTAAATATTAGCAAATATCTGTGAACTTTTTGTTTCTTTAACATCCTAAGATTTTTTGAATTTATTAAATGAAATTGAGATACTTTTGAAAATTAAGATAATTTTATCAATATGAAATTTGTACATTAGTAGAGAGATTTTATATCTTGTATCTTGTATATTTTGCCTACATTTTAAAATAGGACCTAAAAATGCTGTAGGATCTAATAAATTCTAAAATTTGTACATATAACTATTTCATACGGAATAATCCTATTCAAATACTCAATTATTGTTACTATAGGTGCAAAGAGTTGTCTGTCTAGCTGTAGTATAAGCAACCAGTTATAAAAAGTAAAATCAACAAAATTCTCTAATCAGGAGTTCTCATGAAAAATTCTACCATTTAGAAATTTGCTTGTGTTATACAGAGTGATGACAAAGTCCCCATGCATGAAATTGTGTTTTTTGTTAATTATTTGTTTTATAACATGTCTACCTAAAAACAGTCCCAAAAATACCTATCAGGGGCTCTCCAGAGAATTATGATGAAAAGGTATTATAAAATTTGTATAGCAAATATACAACACAATACAGATAACTTCTAACTAGTATGTGTAGGAATTTTGTAACTACTCTGTATGTTCCCTCTTTTCAGTTAGGTATTTAGTATTTAGTTTATAATATATCCAAACAAATAACTCTTTTGAGGGTTAAGTCCTT